CTCCTGGGCACAGACCATGTGGGAACCATACCATGGGGAACAGGGTCTTTGGCAGGTTGTTTACTTTCTATGGTCTCTTTTCCACCAGTAGTCACTCTACCTTCTACCTTCCCACCGTCTTCTGCTTTGAGCTCTAGACCTGCTTCCTCAATACCACCTCTTTGGGGGCATTTTTAGGCACCCTGTACTGTGTGTGGTCCTCAGCCACATCCCCTCCGCCCTGGACCCGGCCTGCTTCTCCAGTTCTGCTGACTTTTGTGAAGGTTCTATCACTCCCAGAAATGTGGGCTCCAGGCTTGGTGCAAGCAGCCCCTTGTCCCCGCGGCCATCAGGACCTCCCCATTTCTGGCCACCCTGTCTCCTGTCTGCTGTCCTGGACCTAGAGTAGGCTAGGTAGCTTCTTCACTGCCCTGTCCCCACTTGTCCCTATAGCTCCTTTTGCCCTGGGCAGTGTTCCAACCCAGACTCTGGCACACAGCACCTTCTCACTTAAAACCTCTACCTACATACCTACCTACCTTTTGTTTGTTCTTTTCCTTTCTTTCTTTATTTTAGAAAGGGAAGGAGAGAGAGGCAGGGGGAGGGGCAGAGGGAGAGGGAGCGAGAATCCTAAGCAGGCTCCATGCCCAGCGCAGAGCCCGACTTGGGGCTCCATCTCAAGACCCTGAGATCATGACCTGAGAAGATATCAAAAGTCAGATGCTTAACCAACTGAGCCACCCAGGCACCCCTAAAACCTGTACCATTAAAAAATGCGAGCAGGAATTCTGGTCTATGCTGGGGTGTTGGCCTCTCTAGGCACGGTGCACCCTCTTGCCTGCTGAGCACGTTACTGGCCTGTCTGAGCCACTGCTCCCACTGAGGAACAAGGAAGTCTTTCCCAAGCCCCAGGCCAAGCCGTGCCTCCTGTGACCCTTTCCACGAACAGCCCAGCAGCACCCATTTGTTTCTCCTGCAGGAGAAGATGCTAGACATATACTGGCTGCTGCGCGTCTGCCTGCGGACCATCGAGCATGGGGACCGCACGGGTTCTCTCTTTGCTTTCATGCCCGAGTTCTACTTGAGTGTGGCCATCAACAGCTACAGCGCTCTCAAGAATTACTTTGGCCCCGTGCACAGCATGGAGGAGCTCCCAGGTGACAAGGCCATTCAGGCCAGAGGGGGCCAAAAGGGGGCCATTGGTGTGAGCCCTAGCAGCCCTGTTCTGAGCCCTCATGGCCCAGTAGCACACATCCATGGAGGGAGGAGGGGAGGCAGCTCCTGCTCTTCTGGGCCCTGTATTAGACAAGTGTTTGCAAAAGCCCCACACCATGGAGGGTCTTGCCCTGGTACCAGCAGCCACAGAGCCAACAGCTCCTCCCTGGTGCTGGGAAGGAAGGAGACAAAATGGAGTGTGGGGTGGGGGCCCCTCCAGCTTTCAATTTCTTCTTGGTGCCACTGTGGCCTGGGAGCCGGCCAGCCTGATGGCCCTGGCCCTGGCCTCCTGGCCTCGGGATGTGTCAGCCCCCGGCAGCCTGGCTTGTGCTCCTTTGCAGATCACAATGGGGGTGGTGCTCTCTGGAGGCCGTAGACAGGAGCTTGGGCTTCTCACAGACTGCTGATTTCAGGCTGGGCTTGGTGGTCATTGTCTGGATCAGGCTGCGGGCTCTCGGGCCCCTGGCCTGTCCCCTCTCCTGCCCTGGGCCTAGGTGCAGGCTTTGTCCTCAGAGGCGGAGCCGTGGGTGCCCAAGGGGCTTTGACTGCTGAGCCATCGAGGGTGTGCTGAGATGGGCTTGAGCCCAGTCAGGAACTCTTGCAGGACCTGGCCTCCCCCACAGTGAGTCTGTGCGATGGCCTGTCACAGTCAGTGAATGCCACGCCCGAAGTCCCTGGATGACTGGCTCTTGGAGTCAGCTCTGGAGCCCGCTGCCCAAGCCCACTCACCCTGCCAAGGGATGTGCCTGCTCCTGGAGCCCCAGCTCCTGGCCAAGCACTCCTACTACCCCATCCTGCAGGCTACGAAGAGACCCTGACCCGCCTGGCTGCCATCCTTGCCAAACACTTTGCAGACACACGCATCGTGGGCACTGGTAAGGGGCCATACAGAGGGCTCGGGGGGATGGGGGTGGGATGGCGCCTCTGGATGGCTGTTTTCTTCTCAGAATGCCAGCCGGGTGGGCTTGAGGCATGGGGATTCGGGCTCATGCCGGGTACCTGCTGAGGCATGGCCTGTCCCAACAGACATCCGTGACTCACTGATGCAGGCCCTGGCCAGCTACGTGTGCTACCCACACTCCCTGCGAGCCGTGGAGCGGATCCCTGAGGAGCAGTGAGTGCGGGTCAGAGCAGGGAGGTGCGCGCTCTGCCTGGCACGACACCATGCCCGGCCTCACTCCTTGCCCACCACCCCTTGCCCTTGCAGGCGTGTGGCCATGGTGAGGAGCCTCCTGGCTCCCTATGAGCAGCGGCCCTGGGCCCAGACCAACTGGATCCTGGTGCGGCTCTGGAGGGTAAGCCTGGCTGGAGGGAAGTTGGCAGTGGTGGGCTGAAGGGAAGGGAAGGGCTGTCCTATCCCACTGACCCCCCATTGGCCACCCCCCTCCCTGTCACAGGGCTGTGGGTTCGGGTACCGCTACACACGGCTGCCACACCTGCTGAAAACCAAACCTGAGGATGCCAACTTGCCCAGCCTCCAGAGTGAGTGGCCAGGTTGGGCGACTGGGGGGCCCTGGCCTCCTGTTCTTGGGTCCTCTAGGATTCTTCTCCCTTCTCTCAGCCTCTCTCCTGTACTCATGCTGGGCCCCAACTCTGCCCCCTGGGGTTTCCATTTCTTGGCTTCCTGTCAATCTAGGGATACTCTGCGCCTCCTCTCCCTTGCTCCCTAGTCCCACATGTACCCTTTGGGCCTGAATGCTCTGCTGGGTCACAGGGAAAAGAGGCAGCATCTTCCCAGGCTGCTGGCAACTGACACAGAGTTAGGACTCTGAACGAGCTCCGTTCCGTGACCTCCAGCCTGGTCCCAGCACCATGTCCTTCTCCCCCTTCATTGCCATCTGCTGGTGCCAGAACTTGGATACTTGAGTCAAGGCAGGGGCACAGACTAGGGGGTGTCCAGGGCCCAAGAGGGTGCCCATGGGGGGCTTCCAAGAGGAAGGGGCATTTGGTTGGGAGCAGAGGCTTTGCTCTCTCCAGGGGCCATGGCCCAGCAGAACCCTGTGAACCTTCACCTAGGCCAGGTCTGGGGTTGTCCAGCTTGCAGTCTGCCTGCCACACGCTGTGCTCACCTTACATGGTGGTTTGGCTTTCCTTGGCCCACGGGTGTGTCTGCCCTTGTGGGCAGGGTTTCTGCATGAAGGAGTCCCCAGAGGCTGATTGCCTTGTGCAAAGTCATGCATCAGTCCTCGCCACTTTTTTTGGTTGTGCCCGCAGGTGGAACTGAGCTGCAGATGGAGAATGGCAGTGGGATCAGATACTTGTCCTGCTGCTGTAGGAACTATTGATTTGCATGGGGTGGGGCGGGGGGGGGGGTGCGGTGTCCAGCCCAGCTGCGGCTAAGGGCTCTGGTTACTGCTCCTTATCAGACCAGACTTGGCACCCACCACCTCGGCCATATGCCAAGGCCAGGCCAAGGGCAGCAGAGGAGAGTAGAGGACAACAGGGCTCAAGCAGTAGGTCTTAGGGACACTGACCTCGATAAGAGTCGAAGTCTGGGTCACCCTGTCTAGGTCTCACCCTCCCTGAAGGGCATGTGGCTGAGAACTCACTGGGATGATGCTAGGGCCTAAGGGATGGTTGGGGCTGGGAATGACTTCAGCCTGTGGCTTGCCCAGTAGATGGACAGATTTAGCCCTAAACCCCAGACAGTGCTGTACCCTGTCCTCCTGCCTTCATGACCTGAGCATCCTCAGGAAGCCATCTTTTTGTCCTTACACCAATGGCCCAACAAATGAGGACAGAGGTGTAGGCAGGAGCCTCAGACTGGAGTTCCCAATGCTACCTCCTCATGCCCCTGCAGAGCCCTGCCCCTCCACCCTGCTTCAGCAGCACATGGCAGACCTGCTGCGGGAGGGTCCCGACGTGGCACCCAGCTTCCTCAACAGTGTCCTCAACCAGCTCAACTGGGCCTTCTCGGAGTTCATTGGCATGATCCAGGAGGTGGGTCATGGTGGGTCGTGTGGGCTGGGGCGCTACAGTGGACCAGGCACAATTGGAATTGTGGCCAGGCCACTGACTGCTGCCCACCCACCCACTGGTGGCTCAGATCCAACAGGCTGCTGAGCGCCTAGAGCGGAACTTTGTGGATAGTCGGCAGCTCAAGGTGTGTGCCACCTGCTTTGACCTCTCAGTCAGCCTGCTGCGTGTCCTGGAGATGACTATCACGCTGGTGCCTGAGATATTCCTTGACTGGTCCCGGCCTACCTCTGAGATGCTGCTGCGGCGTCTTGCACAGGTGTGTCCATCTGGGCAGGGTAGGGGGGACCCCTGGGAATGCCCCGGTGGTGAGCCCACCCATCCACCCACCAACGGGCTCCTGCCCTTACAGCTGCTGAACCAGGTGCTGAACCGGGTGACGGCTGAGAGGAACCTGTTTGACCGTGTGGTCACCCTGCGACTGCCTGGTGAGGACCTAGTGCCCTGCACCCAACATATCACAGGCCTTGGTTCCTCTGCTAGGAGCAGTGATGCCTCATTGTCCAATCTGCATCAAGACAGGCCGGCTTAGCACCCTCAGCCTTAGCTCGCCCTTCTAAGGGGAGGACGATGTGGAGGGAGGCTGGTGCTAGCCAGGCAGGCCCAGGTCCCCTGTAGTTGGAGCATGTGGGTAGCTCTTCCCCTCCCACCTTTCCCCTTAGGCCTGGAGAGCGTGGACCACTACCCCATTCTTGTGGCTGTGACGGGCATCCTGGTGCGGCTTCTGGTGCATGGTCCAGCCTCAGGGTGAGTGTTAGGCACCTGGGCCCAGGGGAGCTAGTGTGCTGATGGGAGTAGGCTGGCCAGGGCGCCCTACAGCTGTTTCTTCGTCTCTACAATGAACCTCAGTATTAGGTGTTTGAGGTGGGGTGAGGTGTGGTAGGGGTGGGGGAGGTAGTGAGGTACAAATTGCCTAACTAGGTGGCAACAGCAGTCAGTGGCTCTGAGTAGGAGAATCAGGGACCCCATCAGAACAGGATGTCCCAGCACCATGGTCAGAGCCACTGGCTCGTGGTTATGCCACAGGCAAGGGTGGGGTGCTATCCTGTACAGGATGGGATCAGAGGCTGAGGACACACACTACTACTTGTGTTTGCGAAGGCTCCGGAAATGAGCATGTACCACTTTTATTAAGGAACTCCATGACAACTGGATCCAGGATGCTTGTAGGAGCCCCCAGCTCAGCACTCACAAAGAGGGGTTCTCAGATCCTTTTTCCCTGCCTCCCTGCTGTGGGTGATAAGATGCATATGAGACCAGGGCACTGCATCAGCCATTAGGCCGAGACCAGTGCCAGCCCTTAAGAGGCTTCTACCCTCCAGGGACACTGAGTTCCGGCTCAGCCCTCCCATCTTGGCCCTGCTCAGCAGGCTTTTTACTGCTAAAAAGCTGAGGGGCAGGCCTTAACTGCTATCTTGTGAGCCTATGGAAGAGGCCCTGTTCTCAGAGTGGCCTGTGGATGCCGCTGGCCAGAGATAGCAGGACTGCTCTGACTGGGGCTCAGGCCAGGCACCCCTGGGGGGGGGGGGGGATGTCCCTTGAGGAGCCTTGCCTGCTTTCTGTCTGCCCATCAGACTGTGTGGAGTTGTGTAGCTTGATGCAGGTTAGATGTTGGTGCATGCTTCCTCCTTCTACCCTGGGTGGGGGCCTAGGTCTTCTTTAGAGCTCTCTTCCTCTTTCCCTGTGGGCCCACTCTCTTCCTGTCACATTGGGAAGGGGAAGATGGTTATTCTTCAATTCACCACTACTGCTTGATAGCTGCCTTGGCCCCTAGGGTGTACCTGGGGCTCTAGTGCAAGGGCTCTTCTAGATGGCCCCAGTTCTAGTCCTTGTGGGACATTTAGGTAGCAGCAGGTCCTGCTAGACCCTAGCGCCCTTGGGCCTGTGTTAGAGCGGAGCAGTAGAGAGGGTGGGGAGCCCGGCCCTTGTATTATGAGTAAGGCTGCTGTAGTTGAGGCTGAGGCCACACAGGAGGCTGGAAGACCAAGCCCAGCACTTCCGACTAGCATCTGACAGCTGTCCGGGAGGCAGCAGGGAGCAGGGCAAGCAGCGGGCAGTTGGTGGCCTGGCTCCTGAGCCCAGGGCAGCTTAGGTCATCACCAGACCCTCAGAGCCTGTGGAGCTGGCCGACTCAGAGCCAGCTTTGAGCCGCAGGCCCACGGGATTGTAGAGATCAAAGTCCTCAGCCACTGCCAGCTGCACGCGCCCATTGAGGCTCCTCCTGCCCGGCTCCAGAAAGACCACATGCTTGTGGACACTGGCCTTGCGGCTGGGCACATCCGGTGGGGTGGTGCTGAGCACCGAGGACTGTGCGCTCAGCTCCCAGAGGGGGCTCGGTGCCCGGGGCCAGCAGCGACAGCGGCAGGTGCGGCGGTAGCAGCGGCGGCAGCCGGGGCAGGGCGGCGCAAACAAGTAGAGCAGCACGAGCACCAGGCCCACGGCGCAGCCCAGCAGGGTGGTGAAGCCCGTGTTGAAAGCCTCAGGCTCAGGGTGCGGGAAGTGCACGCTCACATTGTACTCATGCGTCTGGTTATGATGCAGGCGGGGCCCGCTGGCCAGACACACGAAGACCCCCTCATGCTGCGGCTGCACGTTGCTGATGGCCAGGCTGCCGTCAGCCAGCACCGAGATACTGCCGTCTCGGGATCCTGGTGCCACAAGCAGCTCATGCTGCGGCGACACCCAGGCAACGCGGACAGCTGGGGTGCTGGTGTTGCAGCGCAGTGTCAGGGACCGACCCATCTGCACGTGCAGCTGCTCTTCGGGCCGCTCTAGGCCCCGAGCCAGGGCAGTTGAGCAGTTCTGGAAGATACGGCTGTGCTCAAAGAAGCGCACTCGGGACGCAGGCACCTTGAAGGCCAGGCACATGTATTCTCGGGCGAAGTCGCTCACAGCACTGAGGCCCCGCTGTTGCCAGCGCCGCAGCAGGTGGTAGAGGCGGCAGTCACAGGGCAGGGGGTTGTTGTGCAGGTAAAGGCCGTTCTTGAGAAAGGCTGGCAGGGCAGCCAGGTGGGCCACAGGGATGTGGCCCAAGCGGTTGGAGGACAGGTCCAGAGTACGGAGGTGGGTGGTGCCCAGCCCGTGTAGGTGGTCGAAAGAGAAGGATGAGAGTTCATTGCAACCCAGGTAGAGACGGCTGAGTGCGCCCAGGCCTCGGAAGGCTTGCACATCCAAGTGCGCCAGGCGGTTATTGAACAGCAGCAGCCTCTCCAGCGCCCCCAGCCCGTCGAGGTCATGGCGTCCCAGCGCCCGCAGCGCGTTAGATGATAAATCGAGCAGCCGCAGGGCGCTGGCGTTGGTGAAGACTCCGCGACCTAACACATCCAGCTCGTTGTGGCCTAGGCGCAGGGCGCGCAGCCGGGAGAGGGGCGCCAGCCAGCCGGGGCGCAGGCGCTGGAGTGCGTTGTGGCTCAGGTCAAGGTCTGCGGCGGCAGCCGGCAGTGCAGCCGGCACGTCCTGCAGCCCCAGGCCCGCACAGCTCAGTAGGTCGGCGGCGCACACACATTTGTAGGGGCAGTTATGGGGCATGGAGGGCAGGAAGCCCTCTGTGCCTAGGCTGCCCACCCCGACGCGCGACATGCACAGTAGGGTGCCCAGCAGCACCAGCCAGGCCATGGTGGTGACTGCCAGAGGTGGGTGGGACGGCGCAGCTCCGGGACTCACCCACTTCTGCTGGCTGCGTGCTCCACCCTGCACGCCGACAGCCCCGGCTCCCCGGCTCCCCGGCTCCCGGGGCCGTGCCGTACTCAGCACTCTCTCCTCTGGATTCCCCAGCTCACCGGGTGCTTCCCTGGTCAGCTTCTAAATACTCTCTCGGGGAGGGCGGGGCCTCAGCCTCTCATTGGCTCCTGTTGGAGGGGGGCAGGGCGGCTCCCCCAACAACCAAGGTTCGTGCGTGACCGCCAGGGGGGGCGCGAGTCCGTCGCCCAGTGCCCACGTCCCCTGGAACAGGAGGGGAAACCTGGGAGGCATTCTTTAAGCTGCTAGTGATGTTCTTTATTTGTCGTCTTTGGGTGTTTATTAGGGTAATTAGGGTGTAGGTGGACTTTCACTATCTGCTGGTCACCCCCCTAAATTGGCACCCAGGATGTATGGGTTCTTACTGGAATCTAGAATGAGGGACACGTGAAAAATAGGGAGGTGGACTGGGTTGTCCCACCACCCCCCCAGCCCTCCAACAGGTACTGCTTTCTGACTACCCTTGCCCCCTCTCCCACCTAGGACAGAGAGAGCCACATCAGTGCTCCTTGCTGATCCCTGCTTCCAGCTCCGCTCTATATGTTATCTCCTGGGGCAGTCAGAGCCCCCTGCCCCTGGCACTGCCCTTCCTGCCCCTGACCGGAAGCGCTTCTCCCTGCAGAGCTGTGAGTGGACCAGGGATGGATCAGGGATTTGGGACTGGGACAGATCAGGAGTCTCAACAAGAGCAAATTCTCAAATTGTGGTACTTAAGAGGCACTGGGTTCTAGGTGGGTCTGACACCTGCTACCCCCCCCCTCCAGACACAGATTACATCAGCCTTGAGGAGTTGGCCCAGGTGGAACAGATGCTGGCACACCTCACCTCTGCATCTGCCCAGGCAGCAGCAGCCTCCCTGGTGAGTGGGGGGCCACAGCAACCAGGTGTACACCACCCACATACATGTTGGCATAACTGTGCACACTACATAGGCATGGTCGGTCTGAGCATCCAACCCCAGCCCACCCTGCACTCTGCTCCCTGCAGCCCACCAGCGAGGAGGACCTCTGCCCCATCTGCTATGCTCACCCCATTTCTGCTGTGTTCCAGCCCTGTGGCCATAAGTCCTGCAAGTAAGTGGGCCCCATGGGTGCAGAGGGCTAGGGAAGTGGCAGGGATACACAGACCCTCCTCCTCCTCCTGCCCTCCCCTGTTGTAGAGCCTGCATCAACCAGCACCTGATGAACAACAAGGATTGCTTCTTCTGCAAAGCCACCATCGTGTCTGTAGAGGACTGGGACAAGGCAGCTGGTGCAAGTACCACTTCCTCAGCTGCCTAGCCCACATGGCAGCAGCCTCCACCCCTGAACTCAGACCCAGGTTGGGCCCTATTTATGAGCTCCTCTTGCCCTGTTCCCCGTGGACCCTCCCCCCGCCCCCGCCATATCCACCCTCCCTGAGTGTAACCTCATTGGTGGGAGCCCAGCCATGTCCTCATCGTGCCTGAGCTTGACTTTCAGCCAGGGCCACAGTGAGCATTAAATTATTATTCCATACAGCCCTGGCCCGGCCCTTCTTGAGGGAGTGGGCTTTGTGGGGTACGCCCAGCGAGGATCCTGCCAGATTCTGTCCGTAGGAGAGGGCAGGTGTCCCAACAGCTCCAGCCTTTTCTGGTCCTCCCAGATAAAGGGCAAGTCCAGGGCCTCTGATGTGTAGCGCCAGGGCTCCCCACTGGGGAAATGGGGACTCAGCCAGCCTCATGGAATCCCCTCACATGATGATGCGAGGCTCTGGTACTGACTCGCCGATAGACTTGTGGGGCAGCACACTGGCCCCGTTGAGGTAGAGCTCGTCGTTAACGATGACATCTTCACCCAGCACCGTCACGTTCTCCATGCGTACCTCGAGGGAGGGGGCAGGCCTGGTCAGTGAGGCGGGCACATTCCCTGCCCCTCTCCTCATCTGGCCCAGCCCATAGGCTTACCCACTGGCCCACGCGGCAGCGCCAGCCCACAATGCAGGACTCGAGCCAGGAGTGGGATCGGATATGGGCATCTCGAAGCACTGTGCACCGCCGGATGCACACGCCATCCTCCACCACCACACCAGGCCCCAGGCTCACGTTGGGGCCGATGCTGCAGTTCTGACCAATGCGGGCACTTGGGTCCTAAGGATGGTGGGGAAAATACAAGTGAGCCATCTGTCTCCCATGTATGAGAAAGGGGGTCATGATGGGATGGGCAGGGGCCTCACCACCAGCACGTTGCCCACAATGCCAGGGCCTGAGCACAGTTGCTCAGGTTGCTTCTGTCGCAGGGACTGTAGAAAAAGGCACATGCCGGTGAGGAAATCCTTGGGCTGCCCTATATCCATCCAGAAGCCTGTTGGGAGGAAATGCATCAGGAGACTCAGCCCAGCCACACCACACCCCTAGCCTGTAGCCTCCCTGCCTCACCCTGTAGCTCCATGGCATACAGCTGCCCCTCCTTGGCCATGACAGGGAAGATCTCCTTCTCAATGGACGTAGGCTGCAGCTGTGGGAGTGGGCACCTTGTGAGCAAGGTTGTGGTGGGGGCCTGCCCTACCGCAGCCTACCCAGCAGCTGGCTTCTACACACCTGGATACGCCGCAGCACTGCAGGGTTCAGGATGTACATTCCTGCGTTGATCTTGTTGGACACAAACACCTGCGGCTTCTCCACGAACCGGTGAATGCGGCCTGTGTCAGCCTCACATACCACCACACCATACTTAGAGGGTTCCTCCACTTTGGTCACCTGAGTGGAGGGGGACTTCAGGCCCATTGCAGTTGCACCTGAGCCTTCATATGCATACTGTCCTAAATCTCCGGGGCTGTGCCTCTATGCTTAAAGACACATACTGCAGAGCTCTGCAGCCACAACACAAGGTAACAGGGAAAGACTGGAGAGTGGGAGAGGCTGGGCATAGGGGACACGAGCATCCAAGAACAAAGACCTGGTCCTCTTACCAGGATGGAGCCCTCCTGGCCATGGTGCCGGTGGAACTGCACCATGGCCTGGAAGGGGAAATCGCAGATCACATCACTGTTGAGAACGAAGAAAGGGTCTGCAGTCTCAGACAGCAAGTCACGGGCAAGTGCCAGGGGCCCGGCTAGGAGAGAAGTACAGATCACCATCCTCCCGGTGATGGAGGGCGGGGGTCTGGGGGACAGGGGGGAGGAGGTATGAGCCCCTGGATCCAGGCTCAGCAGACCCCATCCAGGCTGGGTCTGCCCTTCCCGGGCCCTAAACCCTCCCCAAGGGACATTTCTTTACTGACCTGTCCCCAGAGGCTCTTCTTCATGAGACATGGAGATTCGGATTCCCAGCTGGAAGGGAGAAGCCGCCTGTCAGGTTCCTCCCGCCAGGGTGGATGGTTGCGCGCGGGGAGCAAAGAAAAAGGTCAAAAGTCCGAGCCTCACCCTCTGCTCCTGCGCCTTCATTTCCTTCTCCAGCATCTGAGACATGTAGCTCACGGCCAGAATCACGTGGTCCACGCCTGCCTGTTGGACAAAACAGCGCCGCCCGACAGAAGGGCTCCGTCAGAAGGCATGGGCGTCCGCGACCCCCAAGCGCTAGCCGTCCGTCGTCCTGCCAGGTCCCACCGCGACACGACCCCGGGTCTTACCGCGGCCAGCGCCTCCACTTGGTGCAGCAAGATGGGCTTATTGCAGAAATCCACCAGTGGCTTCGGGATGCTCAGCGTAAGCGGCCGCAGACGCGTCCCATAGCCGCCCACCAAGATCAGCGCCTTCATCGCGCCTGCGGGCGGCCAGAGAGTGAGTCCCGGGGTCCGCGGCCGGCCAAGCCCCTGTCGAGCCCTGCCGCGCACTCCCGCAGCCGTGCCCGGCCCCGCGCCCTTCGCCTGCCAGACTGACCCACTTTGGCTCTGCCTTGGGGGCTCAGTCCGCCGTGACGCCGGCCCACGGCAGCAACAGCAGGACGCGACGCCGGACGGAGGGCTGCTGGCCCCGAACTCAGGCCGGACCTAGGGCGGGCGGTGACGTGTGCCCGAGCCGGCCAATCGGCTGCCGTTTACGTGGCACGGACGCCGACGTCGGAGCGCTGAGGCACGGCGCTGCGACAGACGTAGCCAATGAGCGCCCTAGCGCGCCGGGCTGCCATGGGGACCGGGACCCGGGCCCGCGGGTCAGCTGCCCATTGGCTGATCCAAAGGCGGAACTGGCGCCAAGGGCGAGGCTTCCTCCCCGACGGGCGCCGGGGTCCGACGCCTCACGGCCGCTTCCGGCCGCGCCCCGGGGCGTCGGCTCACGGGACCCGGTCGAGGGGCGCGAGGGGAGCCTGTTTCCTGGAAGCCACGGGACAGCGATGACGCGGACGCACCTCAGTTTCTAGCGGCTTTATTTTTGACATACACAACCTCAGACACAAGCGGGGCGGGCAGCGCTAGGTGTAAAGAAAGGGGCGGCCAGGCCCAAGGCCCGAGCACCCGTCCCCCGCACGCAAGGTCCCGAGGAGACGCAGCTGGCCCAGCCCGGGCCGCAGAGTGGAAGGGGCGCAGGCCTCGGGCCGCGTGGGCACGTTTAGGCAGCTTCCAGGAAAGTAGAGCAGAGAGCGATTCCTAGAGGCGAGGCCTCACACCGAGAAGTAAAGGAACCAGGTCCTTCCCAGGGTGCTCCCATTTTTTTCCTCATTAAAACATATCTTTAAATCGGCAAAAACTAAACCAAATTAAACAGCTTTAAAGTTCCAAGCAATCTATCTAGGGGGCGTGCACGTGGCAAGATGTGCGCGGAGTGAGCAGCGGCTACAGAACTAGCCCAGGCCTTTGGCCCCTGGGGAAACCCCCACACCCAGTGCACAGGCCCCAATGTGAGGGAGGGGTGGGGTCCCTGGCAAGTTGCCACACTGGTCCCCTTCCTCGTTAAGCACCGCCGGTCCCACCCCCCCTAGCCCAGGGGGCTGGTGTTGACTTGGCCCAGGGAAGCACTATAGAGAGGGGTCACTTGAGCACCCCAACCCGTGATCCCGTGTTGCACTTTGGTCCCAAGTTGGGGTTTTGGGAAGGCAGGGCCTGGCGGGGACAGAGCTCTCTGGCAAGGAACAGGGAGAAAGAGTAGAGGCGGAGAGGATGGGTGTACACACATGCCCACCACCCACCAGATAACAGAGCTGGGTCTCCCAAGAGTCAAAAGTGCTGAAAAGAGGGGTCCTACCCTGATGGAACAGCAGCAAATCCCAGGCCCTTCTGCTCTTTTTAGTGCCAGGAAAACACTGAAGATAGTTGGTATAGCCTCTCTCACTATGAAGAGCAGAACGGGGCAGCATCTGCTCCCAAAATACAGGAACTCAGGAGGCACAGCACATCCCCAGGCTGGAGAGGTTCAACTAAAGGGGGTCCCAAGTGGCCCCGAACTCTGTCTTAGCCTCTGCCCTGCCAGGAAATGACAGTCTACACTAATGAAGAGCTAATACCCCTATGGCTGAAGCCACAGAATGGTACAGGAAAGATGGTCGTTACTAACCAGAACCAGGCAAGCTGTCCCTCTCT